GTCTCTTTGGAATGTGTTTGAAGTTCGATGGGGAGACGAGAGTGGTGAAACTGTTTAGCATCTCCTTGATAGTAGGGGGAACCATTGGCAATTTAGCACCTATATAAATGTAGAATGTGGGGCCATGTCTGTAATTTATATGCAAATGTCAAAAGGCTAAAAGGGTTCTCTAAGACATAAAGCCCCAATGATCATCCATGATTTTAAGCAGATGCTACACTAACATAGTGTTACTGTTCACAGAAGCACTAAACTAAGCTTCTTGTGCTTAGAAGCTCTAACATAACTTCATGAGCATAAAACTCCTAACACATTAAAATCTGTCTTTCTGCATTGCAAATAACATTTCATTTCATATGTTCGAAACATCTTTCATGTGGACAAGCTTTAGTCTTAACTTTGCATAAACCAACTTTCTCTTACAGAGAAAGAAGGTTTTCCCTGAACAAACTCCTAATTTGCTGCTTATTAATAGTTAGTAAGTTAGTTGTTAAGTTTAGGTAAGGGGTGGATTAAGGGATCTACAATACGGTCATGCAGAATAAGGTATAATTATGTGCTTTATAAGTACTAATAAACAGCCAATATGCTAGTAATATGCATGCTAACAAGCAACTAATTAAGAGTGAGAATTCGTCCTTAAAATAATATGTTACCAAAACTCCTAACACATTAAAATCTGTCTTTTTCCATTGCAAATAACAATTAATTTCATATAGTAGAAACATCTTTCATGTGGGCAAGCTTTAGTCTTAACATTGCATAAACCAACTTTCTCTTACAGAGAAAGGTTTTCAGCATATGTGGGCTTGCATTCTCTTCATTTGCTTAGTTGCACTAACATAGTGTTACTGTTCACAGAAGCGCTAAACTAAGCTTCTTGTGCTTAAAGTTCTAACATAAGTTCCCTATCGATACTTCACTCGTACTGCGTCTGCTAAAGACGCTATGGGAAAAAGCCTTTTTTTTTTCCTGAACTGAAGCCTTTTTCAATCACGCAGTGAAACTGCATGGCCATTGGTTCGTGCAGTGTATAAAAAACAAACCAATGGCTCGGCAGCAGAGCTGCACGAGCCTATGGTGACGAAGCCCGATAGAATGGGTGGGGCCATCTGGCTATATAAGCTGGCATTTCGCCATAGGATCTCAGATTAATTCTCCTTCAGCGATGATGATCTTCTCTTCGCCGACCACGCCGATGATGGCCACACGGAGTGCGTTTCCTGCTTGGGCAAATTCCACGCGGAAGCTGCGCTCACGGGAACTGATTGTTCTCACTGTGAGAACTTCAGTCTCGCCTCTCTATGCTCGCGGATCGCTTTCTTTTCAGAGAGCGACTCTGCCCCTCGCGTCCTCCTGTTTTCTTCCTAGACGCCACAACACACATTGATGTAGGTCTTCAGATCAGGATGAGGAGTAAAAGCTTTTGAAGCAGAGTTCAAAAACATTAAACATGGCCTTTTCAAGCATGAAAACTTGCCGATTCGGGTGGATCGATTCTTTGCTCGACATCTGTACTTCATTGAAGGCAACATGCGCATTTGTTCTGCAAAACAAAAAGTAAGAAAAAGGTGAAGAATATGCAGCTGTTGCAACAGTGATAGTCAAAGAAGCCAATCCTCTACCAACCATAACTTGCAGTGTAGGTGTAAAACCAGAAATGGATGCTTACTGTTCTGGGAAGTCTGACATTGTCACAAACATCCATCCAACAGATGAAGACCCTGTTGAAAACTGGAGAGACCTAGCTCTTCCACCCAAAAAGAGAAAGAGGAATTCATACCTCGCTCCTTCCCTTACGAAAAAGAAGTTTATTCAAGTGTGCTATTAGTATACTTCTTTTAAACTAAAAATAGGAAAGTATACTTTTAGTCTACTTTTTATGTACTTCTCAGAAATTTAAGGGCAGTCATTGCTTTCAAAGGAGGCTTAATCCAGGATGCTCTAGGACATTATGTGGCCTACTGCAGGAGGTTTCCATGAGTCTGGGAGATGTATGACGACCTGAGAAGTGGAGTGACAGGAGTGTCAGAAAAAAGCAAAATATGCCCACATGCAGTGTTATACACAAAAGATTGATTGCACTGTTTACATGTAATCTCACAAGTATTTTTGTTGTAAGCCACACACCCATGTTTTCCTACTCCTGTTTGGAGAAGTTGTTTCTGCTCTTCTGGAAGTCAGGCTTGATGGAGTTTGCACTTAAATCTATTATTCTGTGTGGCACTTTTGGTTTGAAAACAGACAGTGTGGCATGGCTTGTCAGTATTAAGTGTTTTTAAGTTTAAGTTTAAGGTCCATTATTTGTGTTAATGGATGTTCGATAGTACACTTTAATACAGTTTCACAAGTAAAATAATTTTGACAATTCATTGAGTCATGAGCTTCCACATACATACATGCATATAATACACAAACACATATAGCTTATGTATGTATAAACACAGAGATACAGCAAACATATTGGGTGCGTGTATTTATGACATATACTGTTATTCACGTAATGACACACAGTAACAAGTAAAAACATTTACCTTGGAGTTGGTGTTACATTCCACTTATCCTGTGATCCGCTGTGTCTGTTATAAGTTGGAAACAGTCGATAGGTAACTTAACTAGGATCCGCTTGGATCTTACCTTGTTACTTTAACTGTATAGTTAAAAAAAAACACAGCCGCAAAAACGAAACTTCTACCCAGCACAAACCAGCACAAAT